AGGTTTTGTTCTCTCTACAAATACACTTTCTCAGCCTATTACAGAAAGCGTAATAAGAAACTGGCAGCTGCAGATCAATTCCTGGTGTCGAGAGACCCAAATGACATCTTTTCCCACAGTAGGACAGTGTTTGGAGCTATAATAATCTATCATTGGTTCTCAACCTATTTACCATTGTGGGCTGCATCCAGTACTACCTGTATGGCCCTGAGGATGATGTCACATGGGCTGCAGCTCTGTGCTGATTGGGCCACAAGTGGCCTGAAGGCTGAGAACCACTGGCTGGAGAGAGATTTCTTTGGTTGTGTCAGAAGGCATGGAGCTCCCTAGCCAATAACTGCTCGATCGCCTTTCAGTCTTGCGTGTCCTGTATGAGCTTTGAACATGCTGATTATATCTGAGTATAGAATAATAGCATTTAAAAATAACAATGAATAACGCAGTATGGGGCTATTAGGAAATTTATTATAAAATAGATTTATCCATTTTTCAGTAATTTCTCTCTGAAAAAAAATGAGACCAAAAAAAAAGCACTATCATGACATCATGGCAAACAGTTAAATAACCCAAACCCACTCACCAGAAGATGTGAGCACCTCATTGTAAGACAATCTGATTTCTTTACTGCTCTTGCTGCCAGCCCCAGTATCAACTCAGCTCTTTAATGCATTTGGGAGAAACATCTTAAAATTCACCAAAATACATAAAAATATACCAGCTGTTATAGAGGAAATGAGGCTGCATTTCCTTTTGCCTGTGGATTCTGCCCTGAGGTCCTAAGATGACCTATTGTAACCTGATTGTTTAAAGCTTACTAAAGGTTCCTCCCTCTGCTCATATCAGTCACATGAAATTGTATAATCTCAACTGCAGCCTTTGCCAGCAGAACTGGAGTGACCTAAATTCTGTCTGATGACCCCGTTCTTCAAATTATTGTTGTATAAGGAAGCTGGCGCTACATAGGAGAGATCCTCAGGAAGGAGCCAGGGCTGATCCTAGCAAATCGCTAGAAGATCCCCAGAAAGGAGACAGCAGCTGATTCTGGGAAGGGCCCAAGGATCACCAGGAAGAAGGTAAATAACATGAAACATGCTTAACAATGCTGCAAGCAAACCAGGAAATGACAGTCTCTCTCGCTGGGCCAAACTCGTGGCCATCGGGTATTTGCCGGTTTTTAGGGGGAACCCTGCTCCCATCCAGTCTGCTTCTAAATCCAATATAGCAATAATGATGTTACTGTGACCCTTACTGCACAGGAAAGGGCAGACCCCTTCATAAGAGACACCTCCCTGTCCCTGCCCAATCCCCCTCTGGAGTGAACCCCATGTGAGCCAATCTCTGCTCCACCCACCACCAAGTCCTGTGTGGCAGCACTACAGGCCTCTGGCCATGTCCTCAGGCCTGCTACCCCCACATACCCCAGCCATCCAATGCATTTTGTGAGAACCATAAACTTATTAGGGGGTTCTGGTCTGACTTTTAATCTAACAGGCTGGTATCCAGTTTAGGCCCTTAAAAGTTCTGGACCCATGTTGCTTATTGAAAGCAATCAGTACCAGTTTCTTTTTTATAAATTGTATTAAAACTTTTAAATTAAGATTTAAAAAACAAGAAAAAACTATCACTGGAGCTAAGCCATCATTATTAGTACTAAACAAATAACTCCATCAAATCAACAAGTCGTGCTACAATATTGGCTTGGACTTGTATCTACAGATTAATACCAAAAGTAAGTTCCTAAGTAGGTAGCTATATTTGGTTATTGATTGTACTAAAGAATTTTACCAAAGACAATCAAATCTATAATTTGAATCGAGTAGCCTAATACTGAAACCAGATCCTCAGAGCCAATTATAAAGCATCCTTCTTATGGTTTGTCTACATAGGAAAATTACACCGGTATAAAACAAGGTGTGAATTTAAAGTGCTGTAGTTACACCAATAGAGCTCTGCATGTGGACATTTACTCCAATATAAGAGTGCTTTTTTCTGTTTAGCGTGTTATTTTGGCAGAGGTTAAAGCTAAACCAAAATAGTCATTCTTAAACCGGAATAAGTGTCCACATGGGGAGTTCTATCGGTATAACTACAGCACGTTGAATTCACACCTTACCATATACCGGTATAACTTACCCATGTAGGCAAACCCTAACCCTTTTGTGATGGGGTATACAAACCCCACACTGGGATGGAAGCAGTTAAAGGACAGTACTGGGCCCAGCTAGCCTGTTAAACCTGCAGAGCATGCGCCAACTGGAGAAAAGGTTGAAAAGGGAGCAACCCCAGCTCAGAAGTCTGGAAAAGAGTACAGAGCTACCCTAAAGGCTTCTGCCAAAAGGGGCTAGAGACGCCTCCCTGAAGTACCAGGACTGAACTGTGAGCCTGCTCAGGGATGATGGTTTGGTTTCCCTTTCCCCTATCTGGGACCAGAAGCAGTGGTAGGAAGTGACCCGGGGAGGGTAACTCAGAGGTCCCTGTGACACTCTGTATCTCGGGGAAACACCTTGAATCCCAATGCTCATCCTTATGATTGTGTGGTATCCAATGCAAAGTTTGTCATGTCGGACATCCTCGGAAAGTTCATGATGCACTGAGCATTGTTGTTATAGTAATGTTATAAGTTGTAATTTCATGTATATAGTTATGAGGCTGAAAACGTGTTCTCATGGCTTAAAACAAGCCAGGCAAAACTCTCCAGGAACAGAGGGGCAGTTCACACCTCATCAGGGCATGTATGGGACAAACCCAGCTCAGCCTAACAAGAACAAAGGACACTGGCCTAGGCAGCAACAAAGTGAGTCACCCCCCTTTCCTTGGTCAGTCAGGGACTACGATGAGGTAATGCTCACCTGACTCTGAAGGGGGGGGGGTGGCAAAGCCAAGAAGGAAGAAAGAACATGATAAAAGGGAAAGATGTTGGCCATGCTCTTCCTCTCTCTTCCACCTCCATCTACAGACATCACCACCAAGCGACTTAATTGCTGATCAAAGGGGAGAGGCTCTAATGATGCACT